CTGCACAATCAAGGAGAAGAGGGGCCAAAATGGCTTCTGGGAGCAGGGGCTGCCTGGATTTATGGCCGATAGCTTCTCTGCATGTGGCATTCTCAAAACAGGGGGTGGCCTATCCTAGCACAGAAAACCATGGAGCTTTGGTGATGAACAAACCCCTGAAGGCTGAACGAGGGGGTGTTCTCCAAAGTCTCCGCAACAGGGGCATCTGGACCTGGGTTTGCCCGTACTGCAAGTTGGGGACAGCTTCCAAGCCCAGAAGATGGGGCTGCTTCCCTATTTCAATTTACCTGGTCATGTCAAAGGGACACTAATAAAGTTGCATGGCCTAGTAATAGCACCTTCCAAACTTCAGGAGGGTGGCTGCCGGGTGCCAGGGCTGGCCCTCGCGAGGAGTTTTTTTTTTTAAACCTGTCACCCTCTTTTCCCAAAATTGTTGTACACATTTTCCCTCAACTTTTTCTTTTTAAATTTCAAACCATTTTCACCAGCTCATCGATTCACAGCGCTTAAGGCCAGAAGAAACCGTTAGATCATCTGGGCTGATCTCCTGTATCATAGAACCCCAGGGTGAGACGGGACCGCAAGGGACGTCTAGTTTAACCCCCAGCCAAGATGCAGGATTTGTTGGGTCTAAGCCATCCCAGACAGATGGCTCCAGCCTCCTTTTGAAAACCTCCAGTGAAGGAGCTTCCACAACCTCCCCAGGTAATCTGTTCTATTGTTCTTACATTTAGGAAGTGTGTCCTGAGATTTAATCTAAATCTGCTCTGCTGGAGTTTGAGCCTGTTGCCTCTTGTCCTGTCCTCTGTGGCAAGAGAGAACAATTTTTCTCCATCTTTTTTATGGCAGCCTTTCAAGTATATGAAGACTGCAATCATGCCCCTCCTTAATCTCCCCTTTTCCAAACTAAACATATTCAGTTCCTTCAGCCTTTGCTCCTATGACTTGCATTCCAGCACTTTGATCATCTTTGTCGCTCACCTCTGGATCCTTTCCAGTTTCTCTACATCCTTTCTATACAGCGGTGACCAAAACTGGACACAGAATCTCAGAGGTCAGTGAATTTCACCCTGTTATATGTGTATTTAGCTCCCTAACTTGTGTTTGGCTAAAGCATGACTTCCAGACAGGCATTCAGGATTTCAAGACATCAAGAGGTGGAGAATTCCTCACTTCCCTAGGTAGTTTATTCCTGTAGTCTCTAGAGTTGGTAAAAAAAAACACACACACAAAAAACAAGTGTGTGTATGTGTGTGTGTGGGGGGGTGGAGGTGGAGGGAGTTAAATTTAGTTACAATGTTGCCAACATTTATTTTTCAGATCTCAAAATTCAATGAATTTCAGACAGGTTTAACTGACGGGACCTTGAACAAGGACGTCCCCGCTGGAGGAAACACAGTTTATTCTCCTCACCCTGGCTTTTCTGTTTGTCTTGTTGCAATTGCCAGTGACTGAATCACAGATAATGAGAGCTGGAAAAATCAATCACAGTCGGAAACGCCTGTCAATTTCCTGCTGCCACTGGGGCCTGATCCAACCCCCCCTGGAGTCAGTGGGAACGTTTCCACTGACTTCCATAGGCTTTGCGTCAGGGCCTAACTTGTCACTCTCAGGTTTTTAAGGCTGCCGCTCTTGATTAAAGTCTTTTCTCCAAATCCCAACGTTCAAAATGAGCAACAGGCCACAAGAATGATACTCCGGCCATATTCTCCTAGCAGCAGCTGAGTGCAGGCCTGTCATACTAATAGGCATAGGTGTCAGAGGCAGGAAAGACAAGTAAAATTTGAGTTTTTTGTCCATCCCTCTGCGAGAGAAGGATTGTACTTTAGGGCCACCTGTATAGTCACAACTCAATGCTATTCCCAGCCCAGTTTAACTGGACTCCATCCATTTGGGTTTCTAGCACTTCCTTTGGGAGACTAACTATGCCAAAGATCCACACTTTGTGGCTCTGGTTGTTCTCTACAGTAGAGCTTATTATTAGGTCATTTCCTCTTGATATCAGCCAACGTTTTCTTGTGCTGTCTCATCTCTTGACCACTAGTTACATCTGCCTGTGGATTGGTGTGAGTGGCACGTAACCCTTGTGCTGGCTCTCTGCACCAATGGTGAAAAAGGCCATTAGACTTTAAAAATTCTATCACTACTAATGACCCAAATGTGAATTTGTTGCCTTGACCATCTCTCGTTAGGGTAAGAGCCTCCACTTGGGGATGATGGTTAAGATGGTTCAATTAGCAAGCACGGCAGTTTTGACAAGCAATACAATTATCAACCGTCAGCTGCCAAAGCCTCTTTAGATCTTAGCTTTCATGCCTGGGCACCGAAATCTGAATGAGACGAGAGGTAATCACAGGGGTCAGAGCCTCAGCTTGTGTAAATCGGTGCTGCAGCTCCTTTAAACCAGTGGAGCGATGAAGGTGTCCAACAGATGAGGATCTGGCCTATGAATTTAATCTGCCCAGGACCAGTGTGGGGCCAGTCCCATCTGCAAGGAAGGAGGCTGTGGTTCCAGGGTTTCTCCTGGGTTTGTATCATCCCTACACTTCACAGTGTTTGCTAAAGTTTCCACCTTTACAGGCCTCAAAGTATGGCTGCACTGATGAGTTACTCAGCCATTGCCCCTAACCTGCTGCCTGTCCACACACACAAATCCCTCTCACCAGGCTAGCTGGGGATACAGACTGCACTCAATCTGGGTTCCGTTCTCACACAGGCCCGTACGCCACCCACCTCGCAGTGAGGACTCAGGCTAAATCACTCGAGTGCTGATCATCTTCCAGTCCCCTCCCACAATCCCCCCATGTGCCCAGAAAACAGCCAAGTTCTCCCACAATTCACTAGGAAAGAATCATAGAGCGGCTCAGCTTACGCAGCACAAATGAGGACATGGTCACTTAGGCAGTGCTTGGTAGTGTGGCTGCCCCATGCTCAGACCTAGGTGCCGATCCCCCAAGTTAACTCTGCAGTGACACCATTCCCCTACCTATACCCACAGGGCCAGTGCTGGGATTTGTCCGGAAGTCTGCCAGAGTCCCCCAGGCCTGCCTCGTGACATCTGGTGACATTCAGAGCTCTTTAATTGTCTTGCCTGCAGCATGTGGGTCATACCCATGAAATAGCAACACGTGATCTAGGAACTCTGGGCCCTGAGGCGAAGCCAGGAGGGTGGAGCATTTCTCCACTGATTTCAGTGGGCTTTGGATCAAACCTTCAATGGGTAGCTTAAATCCCAGGCCTGAGGGTGACATACCACTCAGGTTGGGTGGTCACAGGCAGCCGGAGAAAAGACCATAGGCAAAGGAATCAGGAAAGTAACTCACCTAGATTATAGCGAGGTTCATTCTTCCTTCTGTTTGTGTGTCTTTGTTTTTAATTGTATTTCACATGCACGTAAAAAAATTAAATTAAATTAAATTGGGGAGGGGGGAGCCAAGACATTGCCTAGGACTGTGGAGACAGGGAAGGTGGGAGTACGGGGGGCACAGGGGGATGGAGAGCAGAGCCCACACATTCACATCACAATTTCGGCACATTTTCAAGGCAAAACCAACCAACCAAAAGCTCAGATACAAAAATAAAAATGAAGCAAAATATAGATTTGTTTAAAATCCTCGGGGGTGGGGGGGGAAGAAGGGGGTCAGGGTTTGAAGCTCACAATGCTTCCCGCTTCCAATGAGTTTTTCATTCTCGCCAGTTCTCTGAGGTGTTCAAGTTTTTCTTTGACAAATTTAAAAAAAAAAAGTTGAAAAATTCTGTACCGGCAAAAAATTAAAACAACGAAAACCCTGCAACTCTAAACAGAATCAGGACACGTCTCTTCTTTCCCTTTTTTTTTTTAACTTCTCTAACTGTGCAAAATCACACATGTTTCCTTCAATACCTCTTTTATATATATATAATGTCGCCTTCCCTCCCTTCACATGTGCAAAGAAAATCCATCTCTGGGCAGCCCAGCTGGCTGCTGGTCACTCATCTCTCTGAAACCAGCTTTTTACCCTTAGATCCGACCAGCCTGATGAGTAAAAGTCATGGGAATAGGGTCTGTATTTATCATTTGTGGCACTTGGTCAAAACCTTTGGTTTCTTTCATTTTTAATGAATTTTTTAAAAAAAGCAATTTTTGTGTGTGTCCTTATCACTGGGTCCCATGGCTCTTTCCACTCCACTGCCATAACCATCTGATCAGGGACATACTGCAACCTAACCAAATTATTAAAACCATGACGTTGCCAACCCAAACCAAAACGTCCCCAGCACTCAGTCCTCTAGCAAGTGTTGAAATGTCCATAAGGTGCGTGACAAGTCGATCAGTTGACCAACGTAAAGGAAAGCAAGCACAACGAAAAGAAATCACACACACACTCACACACACACACAATGCCTGGTATTTAAAAACCAAAATGTGTCCCTAAGCTTTGCTGTTTGAATATAAATCTTGCAACAGCCTCCTTACTACTGTTGAATCATTGTTCATTAGCCCTGGTAGAAAGCACTGCCTATGTATTTAAGTGTGTGGATGAAGGAAATCACCTTGATAACTAATTCTTTTCCCCCACCCTGCCCACCCTTCAATCCACGGGCAATACCCTGTCACACAGTGCTTTTGCTTTGATAGCAAGATATATGAACCAGACCGGATCTGACCCTCACCTCCCCATCACACTCAACAGATGTCCTCTTCCCTGCATCCTCCAAAGCCCATCCTCTGTGGATGGAAGCAGCTGGCTGCAGGTGGCTCCAGTCCACTCCCGTGCATGTTCTTAGCAAGCATTCTTGTTTTCCATGAGGGATGGGTGCAAACCCATCGCCTCCTTCCATCCTCGCTCAGTATTGTGCCAAATTTGAGGTTTTCTGGTTTGTGCTCTGGGGTCGGTGTCTCCGCCACGCTGAGCTGAGATGGTATCAAAGTGAGCAGTTTGCGATCGTACAAAAACGAGGAGAGGACTGGGTGTCGTTACAAGATGGCTTGGACCTCGGAGATGCAGCTGTTCTGGGGGAGTGGAGTGGACAAGCATCATCTCACATCCGTGCCCATTCCAAGACGACCGTGACCTCGGGAGGGAGGGGAGGCAAATGAGTGCTGGCACCGGGGACGGGAGGAGCAGGGATATAGTTTGCAGGCACCAGCTGTGCTTTGAAAATGAGTCAATTGTTGGGGAGGGAGATGGGAGTGGGACATGAGAAATGTCTGGGGACAGGAAAGGAGAGCAAGGGGGAGAAAGGTGGCTCGGTGTTGCTGAAAAACAGTCACTTAGTTTGGAATATTAAAGAAGAAAACTTTGCACTGTTTTTAAGAAAAAAGCCCAATAGGTGTGAGGTCACTTCCCCCCCCGGCAGCGAGGTCACTTCCTCCTAGGAGCAGCCTGAGAGGAAGTTATTGACTATTGTCCCACAGACCTACCCTCACATTTTGCAGCAAACACCCCACATCGTTCAACAAAAACCATCTTGTTCCAGCTCAGAAAGAGAAACAAACAAAAATCCTGTGGTAGAACTTATCCATTTCCTGGGCCGTCATGATTTTCAAGGCCAGAATGAAGTGTGGCTCCTTGTGGCTTGTCTTCTCTGGGACGTGGTTGGAAACAGGGTGCTATACACCGCCAGGAGGACACGATTACCACCAATAGGGTACAACTAGGCAGAGAGCATTTTGTTGCAGTTATACGGTCGACAGGACACACCGGGAAAGACTCGGAGGGACACAGATCTGTTTTAAAAATAATAATAAACGTACGAAAAACGGGGCGGTGGGCAAGGTGAGGCCCCACCTTCCCCCCATCCCTGGAGAACGGCTCACGTTGCTGTTCACCCAGATAGTTAGTGTCCCCAGTTCCACGACGGTCCTGCTCCAATTTTAACCAGGTCCCTGGGGCTTCCCAGAACTGCCTTGAATTCCCGCCTGTGGGATTGAGGTTGACCAAAGGCGCTGTAACGGCTCTGCTGGAGAAGGATCCAGGTTCACTCCTGCCACCGTTGGGATCCCTGGAGGCAGGCCAAGCAAGGGGAGTAGCTTCCCCTTGGCAAGACTCTAATAATACTGAGTTTGTTTCCACGGCCGCTCCGGGGCTATGGGCCCAGGAGGGCAATTAAAGCAGCATGGCAGAGGGCCACCGTCCAGTTTCCCATCTGGATACAGCTGATATGGTCTTTCTAGGACGAGGGAGGAAGGGGAAGCTGTGAACAAGAGAGCTCCAACTGAATGTCTCGATGTCCCCCAAAGCTGAGATTCCTCCACCACCATTTCCTGGGAATCCTGGGGCCTGGTCTATAGGTTTGGAGAGAGGCGAGAGAGGAAGAGAGAGAGAGCGCGGATCAGGTGACTCTGCTGACACTTGCACTTGGTAAAGATGGTGATCTTGACTGAGGCACGGCTTGGTTTTTCCCTCCCAGGGCTCCCCTGGCAGGCCAGTTCTCAGCTGTCTATGCTCATGAGGGTTATGACTTGTTCAAGTTTGTAGGCGAGTTTCTGTTTCCCGGCCTGGTCGTCTTGATCGAGGGCTCCGAGAATCTGCAAAGGAGAGAGAGGAG